CAAAATGTTCTCTAACAGTGCGTAAAAAAGGTGACAAGTTCAAATTTTAGAAGTGAGGGATGTTCTGGAGTGAGTTGGGAAACCCTTTACACAGCCGCATTGGTATTATGAATAACATCAGAACTCTTTTCGAAGAGCAAAAGGGGAGGCAGAACGTGGAAGACAAACAAAATAAGGCGATTCTGATTTATTTAATCATCCACATTCATAGCCGATTGCCGGCCAAGCAAACTACAAACCCACCAGCATACCGCGAACAAGGAAAAAGAAAACTGAAATGCAACCCAGGAACATTCAAAACTAATAGTCGATAGCCATATTCTTGAACAAATTATTTAGTACTTACTTCTCTTGTATCGCAACTTTAGGAATAACGAGTCTAATAAAATAAAACGATTCAAAACCATTCCAATCAAGGAATCTGTGAAGCTCTGAGTGCAGTTTATAAGTGTAAAATGTGACGCCCTATTTTGATATTCGACAAAGAAGAGAACCAGGCATGCCTCTGGTAAGATTACGCTAGTATAAAAGCATCTGTCACTAATTAACAGGGCTTTGAGGGTAGCCACGCTTCAAAATTTTGAAGCCGTGGTCTATTTCACTCAACGCATTAATCAATGTGATAGAAAGTCGGTTGAAGATTGGCAGTAACCAGCAGCCGTTCAAATTGGCCAATGCGAGTAGGCAAGGGGAGGTCTGAAAGCCAAGTCAAAACGACACAGCCGATTGAAATGTTCGGTGATGACTCTTTCCGTTTCGGTCACGCTCACATCCGCCAGGCCAGTACGCTATCCCAGGCACACAGTAGTCTGTCTTGTTTAAAAAAGTTGACCGGTTTACACGATACTGCTGTTTTTCTACTGAACGGCAGCATATGGGCTAAGCAACATGAAGCGTTAAAATACGAGATGCCCTGCTCTGTCAGTATGGACATTCACGATAAACGTCTGAGGTGTTTCATCAATAGTCTGCCCTCACTTATCGTCTTGCTTCTTTCCATGAACTGAATCGAAGTTATTTCAAACGTGAACTTAGTCTAGCTAAATAATACGTCTAAATCGAGGCGATCAGCAATTGAAGAAGGGCACGGAATACGACTCCAGCCCAAAATTACACTTGTAGTTGGTTACCGTAATCGTTTTCCTCCCTTTAACCCAATTAACACTGATAACTAATTTGGTGACTCAGAAAACGGCGACTTAAAATGGATTAACCCATTCTTCTGGTCAGTTTCACCTTTACGGCAATCCCTGCTAGGATAAAAATTTGTCTCTGGCCAAAACTTTCCAATTTGCGCTTAAGTTCAAGGAATTGAGCTCAGTTGGATCTCATCCTTCTGTTAGAATGACCCACATGCATTCAAATAGTCTTAGCTGTGCCAGAAAAACCACCGAGTGCTATTCTACGGTTTTCTGCTATTAAACTTGGCCTTTGCACAGCGGCTTCTCTCAATGACGAAATGGGCGGAGTTCACTCTTACTATCTGTCTTTAACATACTCCGTAGACTTTGATACGTTTGGACTAACGGTAAAGAACTCTATCAGACGGAGCATAACTGTTTCAACGGTTTAGTGATTCTCGGTTCTTTATGACCTGGTCAGACATTAAAAGATGACCTGAACTTCAAATAAAACTATTCCATCGAGCACCTTTAAGCCAATAGCACCGTGTTAAATTTCCGATTGAAATGGAAACGCGAAATCGACTCAAGTCCTGTTCATAGATGTACGGCGCAATGGTGAAAACTTTAATTGAACTGAAAGCTCCACCATATGCATTTGACTGCGTTGAGGTAGTTAATAATTGAAACACCAATTAATTCAATCCACAACTAGAAAAGTGCTACGGCAGTGTGCTCTCCGTTACAACCTCAAAATAGGAGTTTTCTACTTTTGTCATGTGGCAACAGGCTAGCGTTATATTCAGGAGTCGTGTGAAATTGGCTCAGGCCCATTATTGAAGCATCCATTTTTTAGGTGACATGCTTTTACGCAAGTTGGTATACCGTGCTTCGCTACTTCCTCATCTTCCTTTTTGTGTTTCTCTAAGGAAATTGCAGACAATTTTTGCAACACCTCTCCTAAAATGACTTTTGAATGGTGCAGTTACTATCCCCTGGAGGCATTGTCCAAATTTGGTGACAATTACATTGTCTTCTGCTTTTTACGGAGCAGGCACTAGGTAATTCTCTCAAACATAGTCCTATGAGTTTCAGAGTGAAAGAAGTCTGAGTGAATGCGCATTAGGTTCACAGGAAAATAGTGCCAGAATTAGATTTTAGCAACAACCACAAGATACGGTGTATCTTCGCTCATCAAAAATAAGTTTTTCATTTCTGAAACATCATAAAAGTTAAGCATCTTGGAGGTAACGATAGCAACAGAACATCTTTACTAATGAAGGAAGATTTTCTTAAGCTTTCTAGGTAAAACTGCGAAGTAGCAGTTGTCAAGCTGATTAACCAAGAATGCTGAAGGCAAAGCAAGGAGTCACTTCCCATTTCAATGTAACAGTAAAAGCTGCTCATGGGACATGTGGCTGAGAAATCAAATGTGAAAAATGTGGTTGAATTTAATTTGATAATGCCTAAAATGTCTCGATATTTTCTGACAATACAATTTTTACCAGGACTCGGATAACTACGACACTATTCGAGTGCAGACCACCTAAAAATTGCAAAAATCACTGCTTGACGTATCCAAGGCTCGTGGAATCGAAGTGAATATATCCCTTAGTCAAACCATTGAGATGTGTTGAAAAATTTCCCTTTTTCACAAACTAATGTGCTATTTACGTTTCTTTGATTGTTCCACTTGCTTCAAATAGACAACAGTAGCCAGATGAATTAACTCCAACGATTCCATGATATCTGGCAGGTGTGCATAAACCTGCACCAACTAGTAAGTTAAATTATTGGCCACCGTCCATAAACTTGTTAATCTTGAAAGCCGAAAATGTGCCAAAATTTTCCAGCCTACAGTTATTTTCAAAGTCACTGTCTATTAAATAAAACACGCAGCACTTTCGACAGGCATAATTTCTAAATACATGAAAGACATATGATCAATTTTTGAAATCACCAGTTAGGATTACTGCAGGTTGGGCTGCGAGCCAAAAACGTGAAGCTATTTCCACTTTCTAGTTTTAGTTGAATCCCAGACCACGAAAGGCCGCTTGAAGAGCCCAAAATAAGTACAAGTGCTAAGTCTCGCGTGCACTACTGGGCCTAATCCAGTGGCAATTTTCAATTGTGCTAGTAAAACCCTGATTTTACATCGGCTTATTACTGGATGGGCTTGGAGTTGTCCACGAACTTCTTTCCAAGTAAAGTCGCGTCTTCGAAATAACGGCAATTGCGGATGCCAAAAACAAAGTTAAGCACGAATACACTAGCTGTCTTTGTCCATTCTCTTTTAGTTGACAAGCTTACCAAATCAGTGGTGAACGGACAAGTTTAGGCAAAAAATTCCTACCGAGGCTCTCGTTTTCCAGGCGCGTTTTCTCATATAGTTGTCTTTCATGTTGAAAATCACTCAAATTGGGCTCTTGCGTTGAAGACACTTCAGAGTTAAGTGGAGGAGAGCTCACGAGCCGCGGTAACTGAAAAAGAGAAAAATACTATGTTTATTGCTCATTGTGGAAGATATACTCGCTAAATCCCAGGACACAGGGCTTTTTCTTCTATGGTGTCCTAGGTTAAAATTGCATCTTTACAGACGAGGATTAAGATTGCGAGGCAAGTATGAGAATGAACTACAGCTCGTACGCGATATGAGGAAATAAAGTGGAACTTCAGGCATTGGTGTTCTGCTTCATCTTTGAGTGAACATGTATTAGGTCTAGGTTTACCTACATCGGTGGACACTTTTCGGAAGGGTCACTGTCTCAAAAGGTCAGATCGAATTTTTAAAAGAACTAATTTTTATTTATACGAATAGATATCGTATTAATGTAATGTAATTTCATTCTACCGTATATTATGAACTTTAAAAAGAAAAGTACTTAAAATTGAACTGAACAAAAAAAACAGCAATTATTTTTTGTAATCTCAGTGATAATAACAAGCATTGAACAAGCTTTTCAGCATTTTGAGCATATTTTCAGGATTATGGTTCCTAAAGTTTTAAAAAATCTTAATCTTTAAGAGTTAGGGTCGAGTTTGTGAGTTGATCTTTGAGGCCTTTTGCTGCGAGCCATTAGGGCAACCATTCAGTTTAACCTTTAACTTTAGAACACACATAATAACAATCCACAAACTAATTAACAACCCATCTCTCTAACTTGTCGTCATACCACTTTGTTGGACTAGAATTTAGCAAAAGTAAACTATTAGCTCAAACGTTGTTAGAGTTGAACACATCGAATATACCACTCTAGTTGAACTTTCATAAGTAATAAAATCTTGAAACCAAACAGTCTGTGCAAACACCATGTCTCCCGAGAATACTCTAGTTTCAAAAACTGCAAGCTAGGTGTAAATATTAGAGTATTTAGGACATACAAATCCAGTTCAACCTGAATCAACAAGGCCACTTCATACAAAAGCTTTAGCGATTCCTGTTCCCAATATTCAACGTTTTCATCTATATAGATATCGCAGGGTTCCCTTGGCGAGGTAGCACACCAATGGATTAAAGGTAGATGAAAATTCAAAAAGGTGAAAAAGTCTCGGCTTCTGCATGATTCTACATTCAGAAGGCACATTTAGACTGACATCCCGCTAAATTCCACCAAAACGCATACTGAGAATTACTTATGCGCTTGTATCTATCAGTTAGACCAGTTCATTAGAAGGGAGGAGAATTTGCATCTAATTCTTAAATACAAGTGGGCAATATATTGAGATTTAATTGGTGCTCCCAGTGAGAAGACAGGATGAAACTTGCGTTAAACACATGAAGTGCTGTCCATAGCAAACGCAATAACCTTCATTGTTCTCAGTGTCGATGGATAACAATCAACATAGGGAGTTCCTAAAAACCTTGTGATTCCCTGTCATTCAGAAAATGTCACTATTAGCAGGCATTTTAGTAACAATGACGATTATATAAAACCAGATGCGAACATAGGGGAAAATCACGACGGGAAAGTAGAAAATTCCAGTGCTCACTTGATACGGGGGTGACATAATACCGGTCCGTCGACGGGGTGACCTGGAGGGGAGACCAGGTGAGAAGGTCATCTGGGCATTTGACCGATCACCAACTGGATTGTCACCCCCGCCATTTTGACTGGAAAACGGAGGCTGCGACCGGAGATTAACAATGTGATGTTTAGCTTGATCTTGGAGGGAGGGATTCGGAGTGGCGTCCTCAGGAAAGGGGCCAAGTCCCATGGGTCCAGACTGAGTTTGCTGGTAATGTCCACCACCTCCAGCTGTCTAAATAGCATTTAAGGCACCCAGTCAATAGAATGCACCCAACTACCACTCATTAGCAATCAACTAATCAAACAGAATATCCGCTTATCAAATTACACAACTGCCCCCTGTTACCCCGTTCACGATAAATCAATTTATTTTAATTTTCAACCGCACCCAATGCTCGACTAGACGACACTCGGGGCTAGTACGTCGTGGGAGGTCAGGTTATCCACCACGCACTGGTTCACTCACGAACCTCTCACGCAGCACCCGACCCGACTACACAGCGAGTTACACCCTGTAACACGAAGTGACCGACCAGCTGCGGATGAGGCATCATACGTCCCAACAGCTGTTAACGTTTTGACTTGCACCTTAACATGACTCGTCCATTTCAAGACATCCCCAGTTTCCCTTCCATTCTTTCCAATTTTCTTTCAAGACCTACATCCCTCGCTTTATCTCGTTCCACAACTTCACTTAACTCTACGGGACCAACCAACTCAGAACCAACAACCACTTCTCTACTCACTTTTTAAACCTCCACTCTTTCACGGCCACTGTAGGGAACACATTGCACGTGCAATGGCCATGCCCATTTCCACATCTTAACGAGTCCTTACATTGGTGCAAACCATGCCAAAAAGTTCATTCCTGGCCATCAATATGAACCACTTTTACAATGTACAACGATACTATTATTTACCATATTGGTACTGAGGTCGCTTCACTGCGCCTGTCACGAAAAGCCGTGAAACAACAGTTTTTTCATCGCCTGTCATACACCCATGAGGCTCAGCACGCTACCGCCTAGATGGCCAATTCCCTACGCCTCCATTTCAACACGATCAACAGTCGCATTGCACAAGTGCTCACCAGCTATTTCGTGCCCAACAATTTAGTCTTCAGCAACACCCTTTGCGCACAACCAGTAAAGGTGTCTTCTTAGTGTTCGCCACCTCACTCACTCTTAACTCGACCAATGATAATTTGCGCTTCTTAACAAAGCAAATGAAACAAGTCTGACAGCGGATACTGTGGAT